GTCCTGGCTCAGCTCTCAGGATGACTGAGCTTCTCAGCTCCTCTCTCTCTCTCCGCTGCTGCATGTCCAAAACTCTTCTCCAAAATAGGAGTCCATGTACTCCTTCTCTCTCTAGGAGGGGTCTCCAAGGGAGTTTGGGGGGGTCTGGTACAGTCTTACCCCCAAAAACTCTGTAGCTCTGCTGCGGACTCTCCTTCTCGGCTCTCTGACACAACTCGGTGTCTTCCTTATTCATTTTTATCTCTGCTGCTTCTCCGGTTCAGTTCTTACCTGTCCTGGCTCTCAGCCAGAGTCTCCGGACGCTGCGTCTCTGCTTTCTGCTCTGTCTCCGCTGCCCACAATGGAGAAAACATCTCCCAGCTTAACTACAGACACTTAGCCCAGTCTAACACTGTTCCAAGTCTCTGCAGTCCCCCCAGCTGGGGGCTGGAGGGGGTAGAGCCCTCCAAGGGGCTCCGAGCCCCTTCCTCGTGGCTCACAACACGGCCACCTCTCTTACAACCAACTACAACTCTTCTCTTCCGGTCAGCTTGTGGAATGTTTACATTTTGCAGGAGTGCCCATTGGACAAAACTTCAAAACTTCCAGGGGTTTCCACTCCTTGGGGTCTACCACTACAGGAGAAGGCTGATGTACTTGATGACCTTTTTGCTTCAGTCTTCATTGGCAATTTCTCTTCTCACACCGCTTAAGTGGATGGACTGCAAGACAGGGACTAGAGGAGCAAAATCCCTACCACTGTAAGAGAAGATCAGGTTCATGACCACCTGAGGAAACTGTACACAGGTCTATGGGACCTACAGGAATTATGAACCGTCAGGCTCATCTCTGTGCCCGGGAAAATCATGGAATAAATCCCCCTAGAAGCTATACTAAGGCACATGGAGAACATGGACGTGATTCAAGACAGCCAGCATGGCTTCAGCAAGGGCAAGTCCTGCCAGACCAACCTAGTAGCCTTCTGTGATGGAATAACTACATTTCTGGAGAAAAGAAGGGCTGTGGATGTTGTCTATCTTGACTTCTGTAAGGCCTTTGACACAGTCTACCACATCCTCTTTAAATGGGAGATATAAGGATTTGACTGTTGACTGTTCAGTGGATGAAAAATTGGTTGGATGGTTGCATCCAGAGGGTAATGGTTAACGGCTCATTGTCCAGATGGAGATTGGTGACAAGTTGTGCCCCTTGGGGGTCCATTGCTGAGACTGGTACTGTTTAAAATCTTCACTGATGACAGAGACACTGGGATTGAGTGCACCCTCAGTACATTTGCATAAGCCACCAAGCTGAGAGGTGCAGTTGACATACCTGAGGGACAGGATAGACAAGCTCAAGAAGTGGGCCCGTGTGAAACTCATGAGGTCTACAAGTCCAAGTGCAGGGTCCTGCACCTGGGTTTGGACAAACTCTGATATCAATACAGGCTGAGGGATGGAGAGATTGAGAGCATCTCTGAGAAGAAGGACTTGGGGGTACTGGTGGATGAAAAGCTGGACATGACCTGGCAACGTGTTCTTGTAGCCCAGGCAGTGAACTGTATCTGGGGCTGCATCAAAAGAAGGGAGGCCAGTAGGTTGAGGGAGGTGATTTCTCTCCTTTACTGTAGTCTTGTGAAATCCCACCTAGAGTACTTGTTAAGGAAATTTTCCTGTCTGACTATCCAGGAGCCACTCTGGCAGTCTGTTGTGGTTTAGGAATTGTATTCTCAAATTTAGTGGCTTAACGAAACCACGATGCCACTCACTTCCCCTCCCCCTCCAGCTGGAAGCACAGAAGGAAAGATCACGGGTTGAGACAAGAACAATTTACTGGAAACAGCAATGAGATAGTAAGAGCAACCATATTAATACAAAAAGCATACAAAAGAGAGAGTGTGGAGTTCAACCCAACCTCAGCCATATCATCAAAACCACTCCCTCTGCTCCAGACCAGCGTTACCCCACCACTCTGTTCGCCACACTTGCTCCACCAGAAAAGGAATGCCCTTCTCAGAAGCGAGAGAGAGTCCCTCTCCCTCACACCCCTGGCCATGATGTAAGATGGTATAGAATAACATTAGGGTCTTGGCAATGCCCACGTGGCTCCACAATCCACCCTCTGACAGCTACTGCAAAAAATTACCCCTGTCCTTGGCCAAAACCAGGACACAGTCACACTCACATCACCTGAGCTAGACCAAAGCCCCTTCACAGCAAGTGACTCCACAGGTGCCCTGCTTGACTCCCTACACTCACCACACTCACACAGTCAGACAAGGGTTCCTTACTGGCTCAACTCTAGGTTTCCCATAGCAGAGCCTCTCATACGTCTGGATCCTTAATTTAATCATGATGCAACAACAGAATAACAGCTTGAGCTGATGCCTCTAAGGAAGGACCCAGAACAAAGGAAACCCTGGACAGTGTAAGTGTGTGAAAGTCTCAGCTCTTCCTCCTAAGTCACTGGCTCCTACTATGCCTCTAAGTGTCTGTTCACCTGGCTAGCTGTGCCCTTTGTTGTGCAAAGGGTCAGTGCCAGTTCATAGCCTCTTGCCTTGGGCTCTTGCCACCCAGAGCTCAATCTGCAGCTCCCACTGAAGCGGCACACTGAGCTACTCGCACTAAATGTATTCCTCAACAGTACTGCATCCAGTTCTGGAGCACAGGAAAGACATGGATCTATTAGAGTGGGTCCAGAGGAGGGCCACTAAAATGATCTGAGGGCTGGAACACCTCTCTTCTGAAGACAGTCTGAGACAGTTGAGGTTGTTCAGCCTGGAAAAGAGAAGGCTCCAGAGTGACCTTATTGCAGCCTTTCAATATTTAAAGGGGGATCATAAGAATGTTTTAGCAGGATCTGTTGGGAGAGGACAAGGGGCAATGGTTTTAAACTAAAAGAGTGTAGATTTAGAGTAGATATAAGGAAGAAACTTTTTACAATGAGGGTGGTAAAACACTGGAACAGGTTGCCCAGAGTGTGGACAGGGTGGATGCTCCATCCCTGGAAACACTCAAGGGCTCTGAGCAACCTCATCTAGTTGAACATATCCCTGTGCATTGCAGAAGGCTTGGACTAGATGACCTTTAAAGGTTCCTTCCTATCCTCTATGATAATTAGCAAGCCAAGAAAATCTCCCCCAAATACCCAAAGGAAAAATAAGACAGCTAAAAATAAGTAATTTGTGAGCCAAATACTGTTTGTGGTATGACAGAAGTGGTTATGTAACTATAAACAAAATTATTAACATGAGAGGCCTACATATAAAGGGAAGTTATGGTAACTTTTAAACATGTGGTGTCCACACTCTTCTTCCTGTGCAATTTGAACACTGGCGGGGTAACAGAACTTTTGTGTAACTGGTAGTTCAGAGGCTGCATTCCAAATTATAGACTGGACTTGATGTAAATCCATTCTAATGAACTTGGTAAACTTGGAGCCATAAGCATTTTTGCTAAAAATGACGGCAAATGGCAGAGGGAAACTCTTGCTCCAGAGTATCAACATTCACATTAGCACTGATTTCAGCAATCAGCTGATGCCTATTAGAGAAGGGTTACCCAAGGCATTAGTTTGAATCCCTTTGTCCTTTAGGGAAGGCAAATCTGTCATCAAACTTTGTGGATTCTGCCCATCTCTATTATATGTTCTGAAACCAGAAGGAAATACTGGTTTGCTTCATAGTAATAGCAAACAGAAAAAAATATGGAAGAATTGTGATTAACTAGAGGAAATGCAGGGCATGGCTCAGAACTGTGTTGCTCTCATTATCATGTTGTGACCATGAAGTGTTCTGCTCAACAAACAGCAACGTCAGAAATTACTCATTTATGCAGTGATGATGCAGTGATGTGGCATCATCTGATATATGGATCAGAAGAAATGCATTCCTAAACATCCAGTTTACAGGGATAAATTCTTACATACATCTAATACCTCATCAATTTGTGTTCCTGTGTCTGAGTTATGGATCCAGGTAGAAAGTTAATCAATTCAGAAAAGTGATAAACAGCAAGAGCTTGAATAAGTCACATAGATGTGGAGATCACTTCTTGCCTCAATTTCACTTAAGTAAATGAATATTAAACTTAGTAACCCTGAAAATAATGTCTTTCATGCCTATTAAGAGTTTAAATTGTGTTAAGGAAAGCAGAAGAAAGCAGGAGAAAGCTGGAGGAGAAAACTCCAGGGCAAAAAAAAAAAAAAAAAGAAAAAGAAAAAAATCCCAAGCAACTATTAGGGGAATTGCTAGTTAAAAGGACAGATTGAGAGACCTGCTTTTGGCATCTGCAATCTCAAACCCATGTATTTCTTTTGCAGTACAAGGGGAGTTAACACTTGAAAAACTGACACAGAAACAGTGCTGTTATCCAATCAACATGGACAAGGGCTGGTGGTTCAATTTGCGAGATGTTTAAAATCTGCTGTATAAAAACACGTTTTCAATGTTTTTTCCATTCTCGCCATCTTCACCACATTTTGAAGTGTTTTGCCAGCATTAACAACAAATGTGGAAGAGGGAAGTATTATTTCTGTTTGCGAGTGCAAAACTGGCAGAGAGAAGTTAAAATCACTTGGCAAAAAAGTTAGGAACAACAGACAGATGCATATGTTAAACATCTCCCAGCTTACTATCCAACTCGGTGTCAAAGCCAGTAAAACATTTTTGACAATGGAAATTGCAGTAATTGATTCAGTCACGTGGATTTTACTTCCTCTAAATAATTCTAGATCATGAATGCCATTGCCACGTTGCTTTAACATGGCTATGAGGATGAATAAAACCAGTGGCAATATGCACTAAGATTCTTCATGCCACTTTCATGTTCTATCCAGACTTCTATTCTCTTACCACATAGTGCCTTCTGAATATGAAATGTCCTAAGTAAGAAAAGGCAAAGTTTCTGTACCAAGTCCTCAACAGAAGTCTGGGATGTCTGGGTGTAAAATTATGTTCTTACCTAGACTGATAATGAACTGCCAGATGTCTTCCTCCAGCTGTATTTTGCTGTGACACTCACCTCTGTTTCAGAAGCTGTTTGTTGTCCTCAATGGTTATACTGTCAGCATGGTCTCGCTTGAAAACTTCAAAAGCTTCCTGACATCCAAGTGACATCTTTCCTCCTGCCCCAAGGTAAAAAATAATTACTTCACAGTCATCAAAAGACAGACATTTTGCAATTCATTAAATCCTATTTAGACAAACACAGCAAGTCAGCCCAGGGGTCTTAAAGCACAAAGAAGACTAAAGTTCAGTTTTCTACCAATGGGAAAGCATTTTTGACTAAAGATTTCTATTATCTGACAAATTAATTTTGTTTCACCTCACTTCTCTAAAGTCTGAAAGCTTGAGGTGTATAATTTCTCAAGATAACTTAAAATGTTCATGTGAAATATTCTTAACTGTGAGCCAGAGGTATTTTCACAACAGCAAAACTCAATTTGCTTCTGTATTTCTTTCATCTGTTTCACACTGGATCCTCAAAATAACTTGAATTTTTTCAGTATTCCTAGAAAAAGAAAATTCAGGCTTCTTTTAATTATGTATTAGTGAATATTTTTCATATCCTTTTATGTGAAGCAGGACTTCTACCTACAAAAATGGTTGGTTTCTGCCTTTTTACATTTCCAACTTGGTGTTTGTTTCCTTTTGTGCACCAGAATGTCAAGACTTATTTGGCCTTCAAATCTTTTTAAAAATCACTGTAGAAAAGTATTCCAGTCTCTATAATTTATCAGTTCTCATTGTTAGATGATCTAAGATCCAAGTAAGATATCACGCATTTGTATTAGCAAAAAAATTCAAAGGCTTAAGGAGAATGAAAGATCATGCCAGCACCTGTGTTATCAGGTGTACATGTATGTCATTATATAAGCAAGGAGAAACAAATAAATTACAGTAATGAAGATAGCTCAGGAGCAAAAAGGTGGAGGACTCTCACTCAAACAAGTGTGAAAAATGCAAAATAGCTTCACCTCTAATTAAACCTCAGGGTTGCAACTTAAACCTCAAAAATTATATTCCTTAAATTGGAATTTGATCCTCCATAATTTTTTTCACCTCTAAAGCCATTCTTTTGTCCTATTCACAAGTCTGCCTTCCTGCTTCAGATCTACCAGGACCCCCAAATCCACCATGAACAAGAGCTATAAAATTTTCTAGGATTTCTGCTGTGTAAGTGTTTTCTATATGTTTTATGTCAATGTGGGTAGAGTCCTTCCCAAATCTTCGTTTGCAAAGCCTAGCCATGAATGAATGAAAGCCAATGGACCAGCATTACCAATAACATACGTATGCCAGTTATTTTTCAGGTTACCTGCTTTGCAATTTTGGTGTAAGTGGGTTTTTCAGGCTACCTGTTTTGCAATTTTGGTGTAAGGGTTTCCTCCTTCTCCAAGTTTCTCCTGTTTTCTTTAACACAATTTTCTCACTTAATAGGGATGAAAGACACTGTTTTCAGAGTCACCGAGTTCTAAACTCACTTTAGTGAAACTGAGGCAAAAAATAGGCAAAACATACCCAAACAGGTTGGGATACGCAATACGGGGATGTTACCCCTTATTGGGGTCTAGCTCCATAAGCTGCATTTAAAGTCACTCTAAATATGTTCTGCTAAACCTCATCACACTTATAATATCAGGATAATTTCCCATTGACTGCAGTGAGATTTCAGTGATGTAAGATACTGTTTACAGTGAGGGCTGGTAAAAAAAATTAGGACTTAGAGTTCAATAATCAGTAAAAGTTTAAAAAATTTATTCAAAATAAGAGAAAAATTTGCCCACTGTTTCAGTCAAAAGAATCAGCACATCTGTTACTAATTCAAAAATTTTGAGTTGAAAATAGAACCACCAGGAATGTTTGAATGGCAAAGCATGCAGAAATGCTCCACCCTTTTTGAATAAGAAAATCAAAGAAAGATACAGCGCAGTCTTTACTGTTGTGTGATCCAAAAGAGCAAGAGGATTTAGGAAAATATATTTTTCTGTGGTGATGACCTGAGAATATAATGTTCATGTTTCATGCTTGCCTTGAAGAAAAACAGGCAGCTTTGCAAGCAGAATTTTATAGCACGTTCCTCCCATCACTAGCACTAATTTTAACATGCAGCCCGATTTGACCCTCTAGAATTGCTTTTGTTGCAGAAAAAGTTTGTATTAAGTGCAGAAAGCCTGGACAAAATTCCTGATCAAGCCTAAAATAAACAATAAATGCCCTTACTCATGCATAACACTGCAATGTAAAGTATTTAACTCTTCTGGCAATGTACTGCCTTAGAGAGTAGGAGTAAAAACAGTAAAGTAAGTTTGGAAAACAAAACTATTACAGTGATTATTGCTACTGCCTGGCAGAAAAGCATCAACCAAAATTAAAGGTAACCTGATAATCATTTTCCAGCACTAAATTAAGAGGCAGCACATTTGTACAGCCAAACAAAGCACACAAAAATAGATCCCCAGAACTCCTGGGAAGGGGAAATTTTCTGGTTTATGCAGTTCATTTTAAGAAAATAGAGAAACATATGAACTAGTAAACAATACTATTCTGAAAGTGGTATAAAAGGAAAGGAACTTTAAATGGAACACTGAGACTGTATCTCAGCATAATATAAACATAAAACAGCTACAGAAAAATGTTGCAGCCTGTGGGTAATGACAAAAACGTTTAGGATGATAATAAGGGAAGACAGCAATGTTAATACTAGTAAAAGACTGCAAGAGACATTGGAAACTTGATGGAGTGGTTGTGTTTTCATTCTGCTCAGTAATGAAGATTATTGCTTCTCCATGGTTGATGTGGTATCTTCAATCATGCTGTTTACATTTCCTTAAATATTCTTTAATTTCATAAAGTAGCCTCACCTTCTTCCAAATGGCCTCCAAGTGCCAAGGTGCATTAACATTATTGGCATGCTGTTTCTCCTGGGCTTAATTCCAACAAATAAACTATATATTCTTTTAAACCAAGGTGCTATCGAATTTCTGTTTTTCTCTAGCTGTAAATCGAAATTTATGTACAGATATGAATAAAAACAGAATTAGGAGAAGAAACCATTGATGAGGAGAAATTTTTGGCAAGCTAGTGGAATAGTTCAGCTAAAACTGTTAGAGAAAACGATTTCTTTCATTCTTACAAGGCAAACAATTTCTCCTCTCCTTCTTTAATAACATGGCATGGGGTTGCAAAATAAATATTTGAAAATTCTTATCTAAGGAAGAACCAGGAAACACATGTCATTAAGTCATTACAATATGAACTGGAATAATTATTACCATAAAAATAATTCACATCGTTGGAAAAGCATAAAAATTTCCTGTAATCACAGTCTTGAAACTCCAGTTGACAGAGTTGCATGAAAGAGTGATAAATTTTGTATCAACTTGATTTTAATGATACCTTTCCTGTTAGGTTGTGTAGTTTGGCCTTAATATTAAAACACTTACAAGTATGCCCAAGTCACACAATGTGAAATTCACAGCAAACCCATCATTATTTACAGCAAATTCACACAGCTGAAATTTTGGTAAAATTCAAGTTCACTTCACATCCCAAGTTTGTATGTTTAAGAATGTTTTCATTGAAGGTTTGATTTCAGTCTGTAGTCTTATTCAGTGAACTCTCAACTTTCAAATCAAGCAAAAAGCTTTGGTTCAATAGGCTCCTCTCCTGAAATGTGCAAATTACAGCTGTCCCACTGAACTTGGTAAGTCAACAGGATGGCAATTAAGGCTCAAGCTCTGAACTAGAGCAACAAGATCTGAAATGACCAAGAAATAGAAAGCTTGTTGTGGTATTGATAATGGGCTAAACTTATGAAACCAGCAATAATTCAAAATACACTGAGCAAAAATGTAGTAAGGCTTTTGGGTGTTGCTGATTACTTTTCAAGGTAAGAAAAGATCAAAGTGATTTAAAAACTCAGTTGCACGCCTACAGCAGGTAGAAGCCTGCATAGCAGCAAAGACCCTGGCAGGTATTATGAACCCTATTCTATCACTAACTAATTTGGAGATAATTTATTCTATTCTGTTACATATACAGATGCTATTTACAGACATCCTAAATCACCAAATGTTAAGTTTAAATGAACTTTAAAGTTAAAGGAACACGTAGGGTATACTGCGGCACTGGGTGCTCAACTCTCAGCAGAGAAACGATATGGCTGAATGCTATTTTTAAGTTAAATGGTATCCACTGAGATTACTTAGGGGCTACATTGATTATGTAAGAGCATGCAAGTGGATAAACACAGACTTTATTTTGTTGCCAGAAGTGATTAAACACTGGTGTATATATTTAAATGACCATACTGATTTTTAAATTTATCTGACACTGACAAATCCTATTGCAGCTTGCATTAGTGATCACAGTTTAAAAATATTGGACAATTTCAAAGTACTCTATTTTAGTGTTGTGGTAGGGATTTTTTTGCCCCATACAGATTTCAAGACTGCTCAATCTGGAAATGGCACCTCCAGTCCTGAGTCTGGCCACCTTCTGTTTTTTAGTTTGTTTGTTGAAAAAAGTTTTATTGCTCAGAGGGAGAAGGCTTTCATAAAGTTTAATGCATGAAACCCACAGAAAAAGGTTACATTGGTCTTCAGTTAGGTCTGAAAAAATATGTCAAACAATAGCATGAAATTGATACCTTCTCTGTCTGAAAGCAGAACCACAGTGTCTCCTCACAATCTCACCTTGTAACCAGATTTTGTTCCTTGTATATGAGAGCTCTGAGGAGTTTTCAGCAGCCCTCATACGAGACGATGCCAGTGTAACCCACTAAAAGAATTGGAAACAACACTCCAGAAGAGAATTAAGATTGCAAGTTGAGCTGTTCTGAGGGAGCAACATTAAGACTGTTGACAAAAGCAAACTCTTGGGATTAGCTGATCAGACCACGTCATCATGGCTGGGCTTCACGAACGAAGATTTGGGAAGGGCTCTACCCACGTTTGTTGCAAGCGCGTTGTCAGACCATGTATTCTGATGAGAAAGTCATCTGTCCACATATCTGCCCATCTATCTGTTTTGCAGAAACTACATTTTCACAGAAAAAGACTTCGTCTTTCCATTTCTACTAAGTGCTCTATTGGACAAGAATTGTCAGCTCTTCCACTGAAAT